AATAGGGAAAGATTTTTCATTGTCATTTGTTACTCTTCTTTGTCTTGTGGGTTTTTTCTCCCTCCCTTTCATTCTTACTACCTTCTTTAGTGTTGTGTTGATTCTTCTGTGGTGACATACCTTGATGCTCTTCTCATTTTTATTCTGTACATTCCATAGATGTCTTTGTGGTTACCATTGCAATTACATAAACCATCTTGAAGTTATAACAATCTATTTTGAACTGGTAATTTAAATTGCATACAAAAATTCTACTTCTACTGAGATTATAGTAGTATACTCCCCCCTTTATTGTTATTAATGTCACAGATTGCATCTTTATTGTGTGTCCACTAACCTAGTTTTTTGGGGGGGGTTGTTGGTGTTTTTGTCACTTAGATTCTCTACAAGAATTTAGGACATGCTTATCTCAATGGAGAGGGGAAAGAGTTGACGGCAGAACTACATAATGGCTCTGAAAGTTTCTGGTCTGTCAGTTTGTTGTTCTCTGCTTTGAGGACAGCATGTCCCAAATAGGAGCTGTGCTTCCAACCTGCTTCTCAGGTGTTGTGACAGGGTGTATACCAGGGATACGGAAGTAGGGCCAGAGAGATGTAGTGAATATTTGGGGGAAAAAATCATGCACTCTACCACAAGATATTAAGGGTAACTGAAAACAGAAATATAAAAATAATATTTAAAATTATGATGTGTGAAAAATTAAAATAGTTTCCTATAGATGAAACACTTATTCTTCATGGTGTCATTAAGGTTTTATGTCTCCTTATACAAATTTGTATCCCCCTTAATATATGAGGAAAATGTAATTCAGGATATAGAATTTTACTTTGTAGCACCTATTAAGGGAAATCTATGTATATGTTGGTTGATGTGAACTAAAGTCCTTGAAAGTCATGGCATCTGAGGTTTTTGGCCTGCAGTACTTTGGCTGCCTCGGCACAAATTTAGTCTGCTTTTTCAGGAAAGCACTGCTTAGGCTAGGAGCATAGGATGAATTTACAGTGTTGTGTAAAAGATAGACACTTGTGACTCACACTTGAATGGCTCTTTTCTTACCTTAGCTGTATTGGAAGTGATTTCAAAGTACCTTCTCCTTTGAGGTTTTCATTTCATCTATCTTCTAAAAAGGTTTATAAAGTTGCACTTCTTGACATTACTGACCACGTTGCTGACCTTTCTCCTCAATGAATGCCAGCTGTATAATATAAGCCTACTAGGTTACTCAAGAAAGCTTACCACATGCCCTTGAAAACTCAGTAACAACTTCTTAATAGTGTTGGTGCATTTCAGCACTTTGAAGGAATTTTTTAAATAGGAAAAACAATAAAATGCAATAGGAAAAACTTCAAATTGAGACTAGGAATTTTGGGCCATGTGGTAGTTTATCAGCAAAATATGTAAAGCTAGAAGTTCCCCTAGTGTTTCAGTAATTTTTAGTGATGCCTCTATGCTAATAAAATACCTAACAGTTGCATTTGTTACATAGTTTCTGCCTAAAGATCTTAATAGTAAATTAAGTTTAGAGTAGTGTTAGTTTGTCCTGAGTGTCTTTATGTTTACTTAAACAGTGTATTGCACTCTAGGGCACCCCTTGAGTAGCAGAGGCACCCTGAAGTCCCTGATGTACAGTTTGGAGCCAGGAGGATTAGCAAAATTTTGTGAAGACTTGTTTTCTGCCTGTCTTTGAGGATAAGTTTTTTAAATGTATTTATTTGTTTTATTTTTATAAAGATTAAATTTTTTAGCCCTGGCTGGTGTAGCTCAGTAGATTGGGTGTGGGCCTGTGAACTAAGGGATTGCAGTTTGATTCCCAGTTGGGACACATGCCTGTGTTGTGGGCCAGTTCCCAGTGGGGGACACACGAGAGGCAACCACACATTGATGTTTCTCTCCCTCTCTACTTCCCTTCCCCTCTAAAGATAAATGAATAAAATCTTTTAAATTAAAAAAAGATTTTAGTTATTTATTTTTAGAGGGGGGAAGGGAGGGAGAAAGAGGAGGAGAGAAACATCAGCGTGTGGTTGCCCCTCATACACATCTCCAGCTAGGAACCTGGCCCACATACCCAGGCATGTGCCCTGACTGGGAATCAAACTGGAGACCCTTTGATTTGCAGGATGGCACTCAGTCCACTGAGCTACACTAGCCAGAGCTAAGGATATAATTATGTATGATAATTATATATGATGCCTCAGTCCCCTTTAAAGTAGGCACCTTGGGACCTCACACAGTTCTCCCAATCGCCATCAGGTATGCCACTGTATTTTTCCTGAATGTCATTGGCAGTCTGAAATCTCTTTCCTTTCAAATGTGATTTTAGTTTTGGGAAAAGCCAGAAGTTGCAGGGTGCTAAGTCTGGCCTGTAGTGGGACAGAGTTACCTGGGTGATTTGATGTTTCACCAAAAACCTCTGCACAAGATGAGATGCATGAGTGGACTCATTGTCATGATGAAGCTGCCAAACATCAGTTGTCCATGGCTGTGGCCTTCTGAATTATCTGACTAGTTTCCAAAGAGGAACATTCAGGCTTAATGCAAAATTCGATTTAGATTCATTGCTCTGTTTGCTCAGTCATTTGAATGTGATGGCCACATGGTATACATGCTCACTCAATGTCACCTCCTGCCTCCACTGACTAGTACAGTGATGCCATCATTGTTCATGCATTTGCATTCCAGTCTACTCTCTTTGGCTGGCAGGATACATCCATGCCATGTACACTGTTCTCATTATATTAATAATGGCTGGACTTTTTCCAGATAGGCCTCGTATTTCCAGGTTTTCACTTTTGATTTGCTGCCATTTTTTTCTTCTTGAGTTGCATTTGCCTCCTTTTTCAACTTTCTTCCTAAAGTATAATTCTTGAACTTTTTTTGCTAATAAGTGCATTTTCACTTAAAGAAACACTTCTCAGTGTTTCACCACCCATGCAACAACCTTCAGTATGTGTAGGGAGTGGGTCATCTATTCCTTGTACATACAGACAAAAATGTAGACACAGGCATAGGAGTTAAGATATCAGAATCTTTTTGTATTTTATTTATTTATTTTTAGAGTGGGGAAAGGAGGGAAAAAGAGGGAGAAAAACATCAATGTGTGGTTGCCTCTTGCACACATGTGCCCCCACTGAGGACCTGGCCCACAACCTGCATATGCCATGACTTGGGAATTGAACCAGTGACCCTTTGGTTCATAGGCCATTACTCAATTCACTAAACCACACCAGCTAGGGTCAGAATTTTTTTTAATTAAACAGTTTAAAAAATTTTTTTGTTTTTGTTATTCTCCCTCCCCATCTTTTGTTTTTAGTTTTAGGATATAAGAATTTTGATGGAGGCCAAATGTGTGCACAACACAGGGTGCATTAATGTGAGTCATCTCTAGTGGATTTCTATATTAGTGGCCTCTCTACAGATACTAGCTCCTTATTTACTGGATCTGTCACCTGCTTTTCACCTGAAGCTATGGGCTTGTATACCAACCTAGGCAGTTACTTCTCTTTTGCTCCTATTCCGTTAGCCACAGGCCTCTGAGCTTGAGCTGACAGCTCTGGCTTGGCACTTGGCAGCAGAGATTGGGCTTCCTGGGAACTCTCCTTGCATAGATCCTTCCCTCTTCTCTCTGTCCTTGGTGTTACATTCCAGCTGTATTACTGCCATCTTGATCACTTAACCCCTTGGGTTTTTTTTTCATGGAGTCTTTCTAAAATGAAGAGGGACAATTGGGAATCTGCTGTTGTAAAGGTTGTGGATTTGAAGATGCTGTCATGAAATCACCTTGTCTTTTATTTGCCCATTTGCATTTTTGTTTACCCTCAGCATTTGTGAGAGTGGATAGAATGACATATGATTGTGTTACACTTTCAACAGACTGCTTAGTTTGCCTGGTATTCCATGTGGGCCAAAGATGACTTTTCACATAGAGAATTCTTGAACTACAGGACCTACTGGAAGTGAGGACCAGCCGGAGACTCAAGGCTTACATAGACAGGCTTTCCCTCTCCTCATGTTGGGCAAGGGAGTTGGGTAATGGTTAAATGTTGTTGTTAATGTAAAACTAGACAGAAAGTAACTGCTGTGGTCTTTGATAACTGGAAGTCTGGGGATTTGTCCAGGGAAGACTTTTTAGACTGAGCAAGGCTACTCTAAGGTGCTCTTCAGTAACTGAGACATTACGGAACTCTTGCCCATGGCTGTTCATCTCATGGTATGCTGGAAAGGGAGGAACCAGAATTATTAGAGAAGCCAGTTGGTTGCTTGGTATTCCCTGAGACAGATGCCTTGAATTATGAGGTTGCTAAGTTTAGATCTTAGGGTATCTTTTTACAGCTTCCTAATTTCCTTTGGTGATTAACAGGAAGATTTTAGAACCTGACAATGTATAAGTTTTTAAAAATTCCAATTAAAAGACGCTTAACATCACTGGTCATCAGAGAGATGCAAGTAAAAACCACAGTGAGATATCACCTCACACCTGTCAGAATGGCTGTTATCAATAAATCAACAAACAAGAAGTGTTGGCAAGTATGTGGAGAAAAGGAAACCTACATGCACTGTTGGTGGGGATGCAGACTGGTGCAGCCATTGTGGAGAACAGTAAGGCGTTTCCTCAAAAAATTAAAAATGGAACTACATTGTGACCCAGTGATTCCACTTCTGGGAATATATCTGAAGAAACCCAATCACTAATTCAAAAGAATATATGCACCCTTATGTTCATTGCAGTGCTATTTATAATAGCCAAGATCTGGAAAGAGCCCAAGATCTGGAAAGAGTCCTTCAGTAGATGAGTTGGTAAAACAGCTGTGGTACAGGCAGCTGCCTCACTTCCAGTCCCGAGGTTACAACTCTAGCCACAGGCATCGCGCCATCTTAGTCTTCTCAGCCACTCACTTCATGGGTCAGTCCCTCTGACACATGGGCTCCCACTTTGCCACAGCTGTCTTCAGAGCCTTCAGGCCTCCCTGGTTTTCTCGCCCAGCCAGACTCAGCCCGCAAAGATGGTGGACCTGGAGCAGCTGGTGCAGAAAGCCTGGCTGGCAGAGCAGGCAGAACACTACAACGACATGGCTGTAGCCATGAAGAACTTAACAGAGCTGAATGAGCCACTGTCCAATGAAGAAAGAAACCTTCTGTCTGTGGCCTACAAGAATCTAGTTGGGGCACACTGTTCTTTTTGGAGGGTCATTAGTAGCATTGAGCAGAAGACTTCTGCAGACGGTAATGAGAAGATGATAGAGATGGTCCGTGCTTACTGTTAGAAAATAGAGAAGGAGTTGGAAGCAGTGTGTCAGGATGTGCTGAGCCTGCTGGATAACTACCTGATCAAGAATTGCAGTGACTTCTGGCCAAGATGGAGGCATAAGTGGAAACACTGTGCCTCCTTGCACAACCAAATTTAAAGACAAAGATTTAGAAACAAAAACACAACCAAACAGACAGAAAAGTTAACTGTACCGAAGTCCAACAACAACAAACCATTCATCCAGACCAGTAAGAGGGGCGGAGTCGGCAGTGGTGGAGAGGGCTCCAGGCGACCCGGGTGGGCAGGCACAGACAGAAACCCAGTGAGGCTCCCAAGGCGGCTGGCTGGCTGACTGTGGACCCACATTTGTATGCAGAGAAACCAGGCAGTTTTAAAAAAAGTCAGTTAGACCGCACAACCCAGGGCCCCAGCGACGGGAAATAAAGTCTAAAATCACCAATTGGAAAAACTTTCGGGGGCTGAGGTGCTGGGAGAGGCTCCTAGCCCCACAGGAAAGTTCATTGGGGAGACCCACAGGGTCCTAGAGTGAACACAAGCCCACCCACCCAGAACCAACACCAGAAGGGCCCAATTTGCTTGTGGGAAGTGGCAGAGGGGACTGAAATTCGAGAGAGAGCCCAACAAATGCCATTGCTCCCTCTCTGACCCTGTCCCCAGTCACAACCCAGGGACTGGGCTGACCAGTCCCAGTGAACATCTAAGCTTTTGCCCCTCATACCTAACAGGCGCAAAAAGACCAAAACATTATGGCTCAAGCAGAAGAACAGCTCAAAGCCCCAGAGCCAATAATTCTAAGCGACCAAGAGATAACCAATCTTTCAGATGCACAGTTCAAAACCCTGGTGATCAGGATGCTCACAGAGCTAGTTGATTTTAGTCACAAATTAGAGGAACAAATGAAGGCTACACTAAGTGAAATGAAGGGAAATGCACAGGAAACCAATAGTGATGGGAAGGAAGCTGGGATTCAAATCAGTGGAGTGGACCAGAAGGAAGAAAAAAATGACCAAACAGAAAAGAATGAAGAAAAGAATTCAAAAAAAATGAGGAGAGGCTTAGGAACCTCCAGGACATCTTGGAAACATTCCAACATCCGAATTATAGGGGTACCCATAAAGAAGGGGAAGAGGAACAGCAACAAGTGGAGAAGTCATTTGACCAAATAATAAAGGAGAACTTCCCCAATCTGGCAAAGGAAATAGACTTCCAAGAAGTCCAGGAAACTCAGGAGAGTCCCAAAGAAGGGAGACCCAAGAAGGAACACACCAAGGCACATCATAATTATATTAGCCAAGATTAAAGTGAAGGAGAGAATTCTAGAAGCATCAAGAGATAAGGGGACAGTCACCTACAAAGGAGTTCCTATCAGACTGTCAGATGATTTCTCAAAAGAGACCTTACAGGCAAGAAGGGACTGGAAAGAAGTCCAAGTCATGAAATTCAAAGACCTATATCCAAGATTGCTCTATCCAGAAAAGCTTTCATTTAGAATGGAAGGGCAGGTAAAGTGCTTCTCAGATAAGGTCAAGTACAAGGAGTTCATCATCACCAAGCCCTTATTATATGAAATGTTAAAGGGACTTATCTAAAAAAAGAAGATTAAAAAATATGAACAGTGAAAGGACAGCAAACCCACAGTTATTAACAACCACACCTAAAACAAAAGCAAACTAAGCAGATAGCTAGATCAGGAGCGGAACCATAGAAATGGAGATCACAAGGAGGGTTAACAACAGGACTGGGAGGAGGAGAAGGGGGGAGAAGGTACAGAGAATAAGTAGCATAAATGGTAGGTAGAAAATAGACGGGGGGAGGGCAAGAATAGTATGGGAAATGTAGAAACTAAAGAACTTGTGACACATGGTCATGAACTAAAAGGGGAGAATGAGGGTGGAGGGGAATGAAAGAGGGAAATAGGACAACTGTAATAGCATAATCAATAAATATATTTTAAAAAATAAATAAATTTTAAAAAAGAATTCCAATGAGACCCAGTATGAGAGCAAAGTGTTTTATCTGAAGATGAAAGAGGACTATTACTGCTACCTGGCTGAAGTAACCACTGGCAAGAAAAGGGTGACTGTTGTGGAATCATCTGAGAAGGCCTATAGCAAAGCCAATGAGATCAGTAAGAAGCACATGCAGCCTACTCACCCCATGAGATTGGATCTGGCTTTAAACTACTTCGTTTTCTATTATGAGATCCAGAATGCCCCAGAGCAAGTGTGTCACTTGGCCAAGACCACCTCTGACAATGCCATTGCTGAGCTTAACACTCTCAGTGAGGACTTCTGCAAGTACTCCACTTTCATCATGCAGCTCCTCTGTGACAACCTAACGCTCTGGACAAGCCATCAGCAAGATGACAATGGCGGAGAAGGCAACAGTTAAGGCACCGCCCCACAGGTGGACTGGCAGCACACACTGATGCTACTACTGCAGTCCTTATTTTTTTTCACGTGAGTTGAGGGTCCGGTGTGGGAGGGAAAAGGAGGGATGACCTTCCTAGGGAGAAACCCATGACCTGTTCTGTCTTTGCCTTTTTGACATTTTTGCCAAAATACCACTAGTGGAAAGTCAGGCTAGCTGTGCTGACATTGGAATAGCAGCCTCACACCCGAATATGGACTGTAGATTAATGCAAGTGGAGCTGTCTGTCTTTAATTTAACTTATTGCTAAATAATAGTATCTTAAGATGAAAAGAAAACTTCAGTGGAATGATCCTCATTCAATAAGTTCTGTGGTTCCGGTAAGGATTTTTATGTACAAATGCTCTTGTCTTAATTTCTATCTCATCTGTTTTAGCTGTGCATTTTTTTTCAAGGTGTAATCTATCAGATATGGAATACTTTAAATCCCAAACTTGACAGACTTGGAACATAAGGTATATTTATCCTCATGGTCTAGGCCCTGCTAGTTTTCTGAAGTTTCTGATTAGCTGACAGTATTAACACTAAATTGCAGTTTACAATATTTCTATATTACAGCCATATGTACATCAAGCCATTGACTGTATTCTTCTTTGCCAGTTATTTTGGCTTCATATCCCTTTTCAGCCTTATCCCAGTGCTTTCTCTCTCCTGGGCCAAAGCCTTGCCTGAGGAGCATCAAAGCCACTTTAGGTTTTGGTTAATAGGTGCTTGGCAGGTGGCTGTGGGGTTTTTGTCTTTCTTTCCTTTTAACTTAAATCCACCACAAAAATTATTAACCACTTTAATAGAAACATTAAACACCACAAAAAATAGAGAAAATTCAGGACTGCATGTCATTTATTGTATTGATATTTTCAGAGAAGTCCAGATCCGTAAACTGCCACAGCTCCTTCCTCAGGGATCACGCTGCTTGCATTCACTCCTCATTTGAGTCGTCCTCACTGCACCTTATCCTGATGCTGCTCAGTTGGTTGGAAAGCTGTTGGGTTGTAGAAGCTAGGTGGTCATTTTGAGGAAGTCTGTGGTGCAGTGTGTGAAAATTCAGGTGCCAGAAGCAGACTGGTAGAACATCCCAAAAGGAAGAGTTCCATCCATAGACATTCTGTCTGATTTGGGAGCCTTGCGTATCGGCTTTTCCTCCCTGACACTTTTCCCAGTTGTTCCAGGAAAACCAGCTATAATTGTTATCAGATAGTAAATACTTAACTCCTATTTGACCAAAACTTTTTCTGTATAAAGTTTTCTCTTTAAAAAATGCATAGAAGTTAGAGATTAATTTCTTGCGCAGTTATTGCACGTGTTAGAATTGAAGGAAACCACATTGCTATTTTCACAAATTTGTCTTCAGTTAGCCTTAGTCCTTCATTCTTGTTTTGGATAACCCTGTCTGAAAACATGACCTGTTGCATGTGTGGTCAGCCTTTTTTATAAGATCAGTAATGGTATGAACTCCCAAGATAGGTAATGACACCAGGCCTGTTTTCTTTGTCTTGTTTAGACAAGAAGTGTAAATGATGATTGAGGAAAACTGACACTTGCTTCTTACTAACATCAAAATTGAGCTTACAGTTACAAAATGAATACAGGATCCAAGTTACAGTGAAGATAGAATGGTAATGATGTTCTGTAACATTGCACTGTTTACCCAACATGACTTTCCTTAGAAGATCCCCTTCCTATGCTAGAGCGGAAGTCCAAATTAACCAGACCCTACCAGAGGAACCAACAGAAGAAAGCTTTACAGCTCTTTTGCCATTATAGGACCCTAAAGTCAGTGTCATGGAAGGGGGAAGATTGTGGGGGTTAGGGGGTGCGTTCCTTAATTTATCTTCATGTCCAATGAGCAGTGTTGTGTCCTTGTAGTGTTTGGAAATGATTTACTGGAATTACAAAACCTACATTTTTTTAAATTTCAGCTTTGGCTCTGGCTGCTTTTTAGAATAAGGCAAGATAAAATCATACCTGAGAGCTAAAAATGAAGAGGGAAGGTAGACTTGATATTTAAGCAGCTTAAACGGTTCTTTTACTTTTCTTTATTTTTAAAGAAATGCACTTGCCTATGATACTGACTCTCTGGTGAAATGATTACTCCTCCATTACTTTATTGATACAATATTGTGCATGCTAGTGTTGTATTTCTATACAAGAGCTTGAAGTTTATTAACTTACACTGTAGGTGTTATATATTCCTATGATTAAAAAATCAAGTCTTCACATTTTTTAAACTTTTTTAAATTTAATTTTATCTTTTGGGGGTAAAGTTTACTCTACAGATAGTGATTGTAACAAATTGATCTGTTTTGGATGTTGCTATAGTGACATACAGTTATATATTTTGTTTTTAAAAGGGGGGAACAGAAGAAACACCAGTGTTAGTTTAATCTTAATTTCTGGTGTTTGTCATGGTGAAATTATAACTACTATAGTGTAGGAGAACATTGACTATGTTCTCTGAATGAGCCTTTGTGCTTTTTATCATGTTATACAGTGAACTATTTTTAAGGTCTAATCAGTGATTATTTTTCCAACTCCGTGTTTCTCTAAGGAATTATTTCACAAATGGACCATTCTTAGCAGTTGTCATCAGTGATGGAATATCCTGAATGTGAGTCATTATGTAGCTTTTGTACATTGAGCAAATAAACTTACAGATCTGGAAAAAAAAAACCCAGCTGTGGTACATTTACACAATGGAATACTATGTGGCTATAAAAAAGACGGAAATCTTACATTTTGCAAGAGCATGTATGGACTTGGAGAGTATTGTGATAAGTGAAATAAGCTAGCCAGTGAAAGACAAGTATCATATGATCTCACTTATAGGTGGAATCTAATGAACAAACTAGAAATAGGCTAATAGATACAGAGAATTGACTGGCAGCTGTCAGAGGGGATGGGGGTTGGGGATTGAGGGCTGGGTGAAAAGGGTGATGGGATTAAGCAGAAGAAAAAACAAATCATCATAGTAGACACAGACGGTGATTTTCACAGTATGGTGATTACCAGAGGGAAAGGAGGGTGGGAACAGTTAGAACAGGGTAAAGGGGAGCTAAATGGTGCCAGAAGGAGACTTGACTGTGGGTGATGATCATACAAGATGATATATTACTGAACTGCACACTTGAAGCCAATATTATTTCATAACCAATGTCACCCCAATAAATTCAATAACATATTTAAAAATAATTTTCAGATGTACTTGCTTCACTAGCTTATTATGTACTTACTAAGCTGAGACAGTAGAAAGATGGCATTTGTTCATTCACCTGCTGCTCCTCAATGACTGAGTTAGTTATTCTGTTCTTGAGCAACTTGGACTATTAGCCTGTATGTGCACTAGGTTGCAGGCTCCAGAGTTGTTTAGTAAAGTCTTGTAAAGCTGTTTAGTTTTGAGAAACAGAAGTGTTTTGTTTTGCTTTTAGGTTATAGGTTAACTTTACAATCAGATGTATAGATATTAAAAATATAAATAAATCATTGTATTTAAAAGATAATAGAATGAAGTAGTGAAAAATAGTGAGAACTATTTTGAATGGTTTATCAGCCAGGAATTCCACTTGACTATAAGCAACAGGGTCCTGACTATAGTGTTGTTGAACACTAAAGCTTTTGTTTTCGTACATGAAGAGAAATCAAGATAAATAGTTGTTGTCTTTTCTGTGGCTCAAGGAAGTTTTCTGATTTTTTTTTTTGCCTTTTCTTTGTGCTTCCAAGATAGCTGCTAAAGCTTCAGCAAACATGCCCACATTTCGGGTAGGAGGAATAATGGATAAAATTTAGACTTACCCTTAGTGTCCAACCCATGGGCCGTGTGTAGCCCAGGATGGCTATGAATACAGCCCAACACAAAATTGTAAATTTACTTAAAACCTTTTTTTGGCTCAGTTTTCTTTAGTGTTTGTGTATTTAATGTGTGGCCTCAGACAACTCTTCTTCTTCTGGTGTGGCCCAGAGACGCCAAAAGGTTGGACACCCTGGCCTTATATCTTATTGACCAAGAAAGACCTCTGATTACTCAGGGTTACAAGGAATTCTGGGATATGTCATAATTTAACTGGGAAAATTACTACCTTCCATAAAATTTGAGTTCTGATAGTAAGGGAGAATGGATGAGTGGCTATTGGGAAAGCAACTAACATCTCTGCTACAGATGAAATTTTCTTTTGATTTAAATATAAAAAACTCTGATGGTTTAAAAAGTCCTAAAGTGACACTGTAATAGATAATCATAGTTTTGTTTAGATAACTAGATAATCTCTTTATATCTGTAATGCAATTGGGAGAAATGGGGAGATTTGTGTGGCTTTTTTAGAATTATAAAGGGTAGAAGAATGAAATAAGTCATCTTTGTTAAGGCCTTATATTGTTTCTGATGTTTCAAGGTACATTGTAAATTGAATTGAAAGTCATCTAAGGACATACTATTTCTGAATTTATGAAAATCAAGCAAAGAGGCTATTAAGAAATCAAATACTACCATTTAAAGATTTGGAGATCAGATCAGTTCTGCTTTGAGAGTTACACAGTGTACTTTCTATCTTCATAAAGTCAGGGTTCCTTGGGGATGCATACTGCATTCATAACTTTTATAAATAGTCAGGTTATCTTTGCTCCTGAACTTCCTGTTCATTTACCCTGCCTATTTTCCTAGAAATCCTATTTTTCTCCCACATAATAATTAATAGCAGAATGTGAGTGGATGAAACTGAGTTTTGCCTACCTAATTTTCTTGTTGTAGAGGAATGTTTTTCTAGTTCTTGTTATAATTCTTAGTCCTCATAGGAATGCCAAGAGTGTTCTTTAAATGAAAATGAGATTTTTTTTTTGCTTTATATATTTTCGTAAGATGGTAATTTTCTAATTACATACAGAAGTGATTGTTTGGCATCCTCTAAGTGTCACCAATGGGTCAAATGAAAGAAAAGTGGTCTCACTTGGATTTCTTTCTTTTTCAACAAATTATGGTTGCAGGCAGTGT